ATAGGTCAAACTTTCCCAAGTATAATTAATAAAAAGTTGCTCCAAAACAATATTTGCAGCAGAACTCCTCACTTATAATCAAAATCAGAGAACAATTGAGTCTTAGTATTCAGTCTGCAGACTGCAATAATTCAAGATCAGAGAAGGCAGTGTGGTAGGTGGAGGAATTTTACTAAATAAAAAGAAAATGCTGGAGATTTTTGGTTATCAGCCATTCCAAGATCAAAACAGCAAAAGTACATAGCCAAAGTACCTGTTTCCTCTTCTTGGCTCCTTAAACTGCTTTCCCTGAAATCGTCTTCCATGCTTGCAAATTATTCAGCCATATCATTCAGTGCAATTCTTGTTCTGATTAGACTGAACAAGGAACAAGGAAGTAGAAAACAAAACTGGGCATGGATTAATGATTCTTCCAGGTAATATGCCCCAACGTAACCAGGCAACCAATATCTTAGAATACTGCAAACATGCATAGGTATAAAGCTTTCACTTTAATGCACTTATTTTGAAAAAGCACAGCATATTCAGGAATGAAAGTATGAACAAGCATTTGAAGTAGAGCTTTTTGGAAATCCAATTATTATACATGGTATACAGTATCAATCTAGCCATTCCCCCTTATGAATAGATGAACTTTCTGTTTTCTGTGCCACTCACATTCTTGAGGCCAAATTGAAGCCTTGTTGGGTTGTGGGGCTTTGATAACAAAAGCATCCTTCAAAATATAACATGTATCCTGATGGAGAGGGGGTCACACTCATCCTATGACCAGCCAGATGGAGAATCAGATAAATTCAGCTTCGTAAACAAGTGGGTCCTGCCAGCTTCCAGGAGAAGGTTGACCTGAGCACACACAAAAAAGCTAATGAAGTCCTAGGCTACATCAACAGAGGGATAGAATCAAGATCATGTGACATGTTACTTCCATTTTATAAAGCCTTGGTAAGACCACACTTGGAATACTGCATCCAGTTTTGGTCACCATGATATGAAAAATATGTTGATACTCTAGATGAATGAGTACCGAAAAGAGCAACAAAAGTGATTAAGGAACTGGACGTTAAAACATACAATGAACAGTTGCAGGAATTAGGTATATCTAATCTAATGAAAAGAAGGACTAGGGCAGAGGTGGGTTGATACGGGTTCACACTGGTCTGGGCAAAGTGGTAGTGGAAATTGGGACTGGGTCGTCAAACCGGTAGGGATGGCAGGCTGGCCATGCCCCCGAACCAGTTTCCTGGTCACCCATGCCGTTGCCACCTTGTTTTTTAGTCATTTTTTCATGTTCCTCCACATGCACAGAACAATTTACAGGCAACTGCATACATGCACCTGCTGTGTGCGAAGCGAACCAGCAGCCATTCCGGCAGTAAGCCTCCCCTGAACTAGAGATGATTTAAGATTAGTCTTCCAATATTTGTGAGGCTGCCATGGAGAAGAGTGGATTGACTTATTCTCCAAAGCCCCAGAGGGCAGGACAAGAAATAATGGGTGAAAATGTTTTAAAGAAAGATCCAATCTAGGAGAAATTTCCTGTTAGCGTGAAGAATTTATCAGTGTAACACCTTTCTTCCAGAAGTTGTGGAGGAAAACCATTTGTTCAGAATTGCATAAAATCGCCTATTTGATCAGGGTGATCAGGGTGTGAGATTAGAAAACCTCTATTATTATTAGGATGAAAGATCTAAACAAGGTGGGTTTGGTCTGAGCAAGACCAAGACTGCCATGAATATTGATATTGATTTATTGAATGAAGCTGGAAAGTGAGATATCTGAAGGAAATAAGGATTGGTTTATAGATGTAAGATTGTTTTACTTTACAGATGATGGCTAGCTCTTCGAAATAAAGTCACCTGAAATTCAGGTAATGAGGAACAAGACACTAATCTTCTCAATGCGGTTGCCTGCTTAATGAACACTGATTTACAATTATAATTCTGCATTCAGTTATGGTCATAAGTTGAGGACTATGTGAGCTGTCTTTCTCTTTTCTTTCTTTTATTTTCCCTGCATCTTCTGAATTTTTCTTTTCCTTTACCTTCTAGTTTAGTTTGTATTGGTTTTTACTACAGTATATTTGCTAAAATTTTCAACAAATAAATGTTATTTAAAAAGAACATCAACAATAACTCTCTTCAACAAAAGGTGTAGATAAGCTGTCCCTTCAGGCCAGGTTGTAATAGAACCCCACATGTATGGGGTTTAATTGAAAGATAATCTTTTAGTGATCTTGGCTACTTTATATTGCCAATTTTATAATGTTTTTAATGAGGTTTTTTTGTAGCCTCCAAGAGTGACAAGGGTGAGATTGGTAACTATATAAATCTATAATTAAGGACATTACCTGAATATATATTTTTTGGTTTGCAAACTAAAATCTACCTTTGTCAATTTCCAACCATTATTTATTTATTTTATAAATCTGAATATATGTAAATATGTAGTACTTCTATCTTACCACCTTGTTAGTAAGCAAGTATTTTTGTAGTATATACCTATTTTGCTGTAGCAGTTTCCATTGCTTCCCAGAATGCTCTTTGACCAAAAATAATTTAGGAGCTTTTGAGACCCTAACAGATTTTGAACATTGATTTCATCATTGATCAAGTATGAATCAATATCACACAAAACAAGAACATATATAAACATTATTTTCTTCTACTGTTTCTCATAATAGGGCATACAAGTAGGTGGTTTATTATCATTTTAATCATTAAAATATTTTATAAAATCATACCATACAAAAAAAGTCTTCCAAAAATTTTCTTCCATTGCTTTCAATATATATGGTAATTTTTGTTGTGACAAAAAGATCATAATTTACGTTATCATACCATTTTTCCTTAAGTACTCCTGCTAAACGCACCAGGATATTTTATTACAAATCCAATTGCTATTAATAAAATACATGTGGTTTTCTACATATTTGTATTCTTACCAGAAAATAATGACAAAAGTCTCAGATGTTTTCTATATTTTTATTAGTAATTAATGCATTCTCTAGAAAACTTATATCCCCAAATTAACAGCTCTGTGCACTTGTTTTAAATATGTGTGAAACTGTAACAGTGAGATGGCAGTAACAATCAAGAAACATTTCAAGGATTTTTTTTTCTCAAAAGCTATAAAAGAAAAAGAATGGCTTTTCCCATATACAATTCCATTCATCTTGAGATATTGCTTTTTTAAAACATTTAATTTAAACATATAAAATATCCCTCCAATGAATGATTGCAATAAAGGTGTATAATTTTCTTGCCTTGGAGAATATTCTTCTGTACCAATAAGTTTTATGCATAAATTCAAATCGTATAAATTGTCCATTTAAAGTGAATTAAAAATCCCTCATTTTTCAAGGAAACCTCCCACATCCATTATAACCAGTTTAATGCAGTTCTTAATATAAACTTTATAAGTTCGCGCGGTAACAGTGTAAAATCAACAGCAATAAAAACAAAAACATAAAAAATATTGGAGATTAGATTAAAATTGCCCGGAACTATTGGATCTGATAATGGCTTCCTGAGGTAGGTTGTACCACCAGAACATTCAAGGCAAGTGGAACCATTCCTCTCACTCAAGAAGAGACATTTTACTGCATGGACTCAATTAAGGGTCACTTCCCGTGGGGGGGGGGCGCACACATGGAACTAATAAACAGCTGATGGAATTGCCCAATCAGAAACCAATTCTGAGCAAATCCAATCAATTTTATCTGCCACAGAATATTCCTCATGGTTGCCTGCAGATGAATCTATAGCTCACCCCCCACCCCCCCAAGGAACTTAAACAGAGCCACTATCTATGGGTGTAATATAAATAGAAAAAATAACTGGATTTTGCCATTGTTATCACCACAACGAAAATGAAGCAGAATTTGTATAAAAATATTTTATATCAGATGCCCTTTCATTCACTTACTCACTGATGTAATTTAAAATGGTCATTAAATGAATGGGGGTAAGTTGAGGACTACCTGTATACTGGATATTCTATACACTCACTCATTTATATGGCTACCTATTTGCCAAGCAACTTTGGACAGCTGTTAAAGCTTTGAAAAGATGACTGTAATTATAAAAAGTTCAGGTACCATTCCATTCCACTGCTTGGAGGAAGAATAAGATCTTGGGGAGGTATTTCATAGAGCAAACACTGGCAGAAAAAGCACCTACCTCCTAGGTCCCAAAAAATGACATTTATGGGGCCCAGAGCGTGCCAGTCTTGCTGGATCTTTAGGATGGCAGAGAAGACTGCAGACAGATCCCACAAATATCTGGCGTCTTGCATTGTACCCAGAAGCCATGTGTAACAAATGTGACTTATGCAGTCATGGATGGCATGGGCCTATTTGGATGTACACATACTTTACTCATACTACTAAATTCTGGAAAGGCTTTAGCTTCTGGGTAACCTTCAGGGTCAGTTCCATGTATTTGCAAAAATCCGAACAAGAATCTGAGGCATTAGTAATGATGAGCAGCATCCCAAACCCCACAACTCGGAAACAACTTCAATTGGTGCACAAGATGAAGGACCCTTCTAGAAACACCCACCCCATGTTCTTCAACAAGGAATCAAAAGTCTTACTAGGACCCCCCAAATTGTGCAATGAACCTAGAAGAATATCTGGCCTTCAAAGAGCCATATATAATTTTCATGTATTAAATTTACATGTATTAAATTCACAGATTTACTATATAGTAAATCTGTGACCAGTTGGGACCAGTATTTGCTGAAAAACACTGTTTTAAATAAAGGTTTACCTCTATAGGCAGCCCTTGACTTACAATTACAAAGTTGACTCAGCCTTCCATCCTTCTAAGGTGGGTAAAATGAAGAGCCAGATTGTTGGGCGCAATGTGCTGACTCAGAGAGGGCTGTGAAGCGGTATATAAGTCTAAGTGCTATTGCTAGAAATAAGGCGGGAATTTCATTTGCTAAGTGAGATGGTCATTAAGTGAGTTGTGCCTGATTTTATGACCATTTTTGCCATGGTTGTGAAGTGAATCATGCATGCAGTCATTAAAAAAATCCCGCTTCCCCCCAAATTTGATCATGTGACTGAGGGAACCCCCAATAAGTGCAAGAACAGGCTAAAAATCACTTTTTTTCAGTGCTAACATAATTTCAAATGGTCATTAAATGAATGGCTGTAAGTTGAGGACTATCTGCATCTTAATACTGTATTTTCTAATTTGACCCACCATTTATTTTTGACCTTCCATTATTAAAGGCACCACGAGTTTAAGCTGAAATGCTTTAAGACACAATCTGAATATGTAAATATTGAGGCCATTTTGAACCTATACACAATACCTTCTCTTAGTTATTGCTAATAGATTAGATTTTCCCACTGATTATTTAAGACAAAAGAATACTGCCTTTTCATTCACGCTTCTTGTCAAATTTGCCTTTGGAGAGGGCTCCTATTGCTTTCCCAGCTACAAGGAAACTGAAAGCCCCCACATGAACACAATAATACACTGATTTCCAATAGCGATTAGTACCCTCAAAGCTACGCAAGAGGAAACCCACGCACACATAGTCATAAGCCCTCATCTTCAGGAACCAGTGTGCCCAGTCAGCACAGGAACGGCCAGAGTGGGAGAGATGCCTCAATAACCCATCCTCCATGGCCTTCTCAGCTAGTAGGCATAATGGGATGGTATGGAAACTGAGGTGATAGCCAGGGCGGAATCCATGCCAGTAGGCCGAGATACCCATAGTCCAAGAATACCTAAGAAGAAAAAGGTATCGTCAGTCTACAATCTTTTTCTCATGCCAATTCAAGCATCAATTTATCCCAGAATCTTTCCCATGTCCCATGATCATTTCTAACACTGTCATGGCTGTTGTTAAATCTAGCTCCGTCTACAAATCTGTTGGACTTCATCACCTAGAAGCCTCCAGTTAACACTCCAAAACTCTTCAGGTTGACTTTAAAGATATGGAAATTGAAAATTAGTATAGGAGAAGGAATGGCAGAGCGTGTGGGAGATGTCAAAAGAGAAATTAGACTAGAGTCTCTACATTTCCACAGATGGACTAAATCAAACTCAGCTTGAATTCCGTTAACCCTTATCTAGCATCAAAATAGTGCTATTTGTTAGTTGATCAGCTTGCTGGGCATAGGCATAAACAATAAATCAGCGTAACTGAAACTTAACAGTAGCTCTGGTCTTTCATGCATAACACCTAAGAAGAAGATACAAGGTTGGGAAATGATTATTTATGCAACTTTCATTCAAGCCCAAAGCACTCTGAGTTCTCTTAGGCTCAATTTGGTTTTCTGATTTACCCTTTTTTCAGTTACGAGTTGCTGCTTATGTCCCTTCCAAAATTTATCTAATTACCCACTTTCTCTATGCATAGTCCATATTAACCAGTGTTCTCTACTTTATAATATTTGTCAACTACCTCATTTTTCATCCCCTTAATTCATAATTGGTTTCACAGCTGAAACCAATCCTCATCTTTTTGTGCTACATTTTTTATTGCTGCTTCCCACAATTCTCATTTGCACATTCATATCAGATCCAATTAGTCCCACAATCCTGCATCCTTTTCCCCCTTCAGATCTGCATCATTGAAGAGCCTTCTTTGCTTGACTTCAAAACAACCAATCACTGTCTAGAACAGTGGTAGTCAACCTGGTCCCTACCGCCCACTAGTGGGTGTTCCAGCTTTCATGGTGGGCGGTAAGGGTTTGCTGTAACCCTGCTTTATAAATTTTATAAAGTAAAGTTACTTCCCTACTTTATAAATCACCATTACTGTGGAACCGGTGGGCGGTTAGAAAATTTTACTACTAACAGAGATACAAAAGTGGGCGGTAGGTATAAAATGGTTGACTATCCTTGGTCTAGAACATTGTTTCTCAAACTTGACAACTTTTAAGATATATGGACTTCAACTCCTGCAATTCCCCAGCCAGCTTTGCTGGATGGGGGATTCTGGAAGTTGAAGCCCACCCATCTTAAAGCAAGCTAGATGGGGGATTCTGGGAGTTGAAGTCCACCCATCTTAAAGCATGCTGGATGGGGGATTCTGGAAGTTGAAGTCCACACATGTTAAAGGTGTCAAATCTGAGAAATACTAGTCCAGAATTATCTTTTCCATCTTCTCCATAAAACAGTTCCACAGCAACCCACTTTATATCACACCTCACTTCCAGCTCTCGTTTGCCCTAAGTAATCTTTTATTTTAATCCAATTTCACATGACTCACCTTAAGAGACGGGGGAGAAAAGCCACATTTTTGTAGGTGTATTGGTGTAACCACCATTGGACAGTCATGTTCCAACAGAGAATGCCGTCCTTCACCTTGGTACAAAATTCTGTACCATATGGATCAATGTTTTGGATTGTCCGATAATCATAGGCAACACTGGATGCTTCCCCATCAGCTAATCTGCTTGTTAAAAAAAGAGAAAGAAAATCCTTTATGTAGGTTTTTCACTCTGAAACTGACTGGCAGCATGCTTTCTACGCAGGACTGACCAGAAAGACAATCTGAGTTAGTACATACATTTTAAAAAATAGTCATTTGATTTAAATAGCTCACCTTCTGGTTGGGAAAAGGGTACAGACCTCTGTATAAAATACCTTCAGGCTTATAGTCCTCTGAACCAAGAAGGGATCAACATTTTCATAAAATGGGAATTTGTTCATTTATATCCTGCCTTTGTTATTTTTTTTTATAAATTACTCAAGTGGCAAACATATCTAATATTCCTCCCTCCCTCCTATTTTCACCACATAACAATGCTGTGAGGTGAATTGGGCTGAGAGAGGGACTGGCCCCCAGTCCCCCCAGTTGGTGTCCATGCCTATATGGCAGTAGAACTTACCATCTCCTAGTAACTGGCCCAAAGACCCCCAGCCAGATTTCATGCCTAAGGTGAGACTCGCAGTCTCCTGGCTTGTACCCTGGTGCCTTCACCACGAATATAAATAATGTTTTCTAAATTTAGGGTTCATTCACACATTTCCCCCCCCCCCTCAAAGCTCCGTGACAATGTCTTGGGCATCTAAGGCATAATGACATGCCCTCATGACTTTGTCATAAAATCCCTCATCCAAGAGCTCAGGCTGCATTTATCTGATCCCCATATTCATGTGGTATTTTCTGTCTTCTTTCAACACATTCTGACCAGTGACAAAACCCCTGGATGTAACCACCTGTCAAAACTCAGCCCAAATTAAGAAGAGTGACGGGTGGATGTTTTTCCTGCCTGCACAAAATCCACCAGGACTAGTTAAGGAAAATACATTAGGGCCCCACCATTCACTGGTTTTAGTATCAGGCAGAACAGAAATCAGCAGATGGCAGAGAGCAAAATAATGCTCATTCTTTTGTGCCACAACTGTCAGAATGTAACTTTAGTGTACTCTATTCTCACAGTCCACCACCTGCAACCACGATTGGCCGAATTTCTGTTGCTAAGCAAGGCAAGTGTTTAAATGAGTCCCATCCGATTTCGCAACCTTTTTTGCCACAGTTGTTAACCGAATCACTGCAACTGTTAAGCGAATCACACCGTTGTTAATGAATCAACTTTCCCCTTGACTTTGCTTGTGAGAAGCTCCCTGAGAAGTTGCAAATGGTGATCACATGATCCTGAAACACTGCAATCATCAGCTGATTGTCAAACACCCAAATTTTGATCATGTGACTGTGGGGATGCTGTAATGATCCTAAGTGCAAGGACCAGTTATAAGTCATCTTTTTCAGTGCTATTGTAACTTTAAATAGTTGCTAACAAATGGTTGTAAGTCAAGGAGTGTCTGTACAGTTAGTCCCTGACTTAAGACCACAACTGAACCCAAAACCTCCCATTACCAAACAAGCCAGTTGTTAAGTGAATTTCAACCCATTTTACCACCATATTTGCCACAATTGCTAAGCAAATCACTGCAGTTATTACATGTGGTCATTAAGTGAATCTAGCTTCTCCCATTAATTTTGCTTGTTGGAAAGCTGGCTGGGAAGATTGCAAAATGACACGTGACTCCAGGATAGGGCAATGGTCACAAACATGCGTCAGTTGCTAAGTGCCCAAATTTTGATCACATGACCTTGGTTGTGGTACAATGGTCATAAGTGTGAAAAATGGTCATGAGTCCCTTTTTTCCAGGGCTGTAATAACTTCGAAGAGTCAATAAATGAATGGTTTGCAAGGTGAGGACTACCTGTAGCAGAAAAGGAATTCTTTTTTTTAGACAAGGAAGAGAAGGTGTTCTAAACTCACTGGATTAGAGATTCGTATTCCACAGTCGGTCCTCTGCCTGATTGTGAATTGGCACAAGTTGGATATGCTCCAAGGCCAGCAGTGATGCAGGCACTCTCTGCACCATACCAGGTTACGTAGTTACGCAGGCGGAACACAAAGGAAACTGGCATCATGTAGAAAAGACGGAAACAGATCCCTTTTTCGTAGAAGGCAGCATTTTCCACATATTCAGGGGGCCAGATGTAGGAGACAGCCAAAAATGTAGTTGCAAAGACAGGCATCATCATCAGTCTGTAAAGCAGTGGCTTCCATGTAGGAATTTCAGAAGGGTTGGGCTGATTCAACCAGTCATGATATGTACGATAGCGATAAAATAAGCCTGGGTTTTAAGAACACAGAAGAGAAAGCAAGGAAAGAAAACAAGACCAATGAGAGATATCTGTCTAAGAAAGGGGTGGGCAATAAATAACTAACGATTTGCCAGCTCAGGAATTCTGGGAGACGAAGTTCACAGGTCATCAAGTTGCCATAATTGTCCACCCCAGTGTAAAACAAAATACACATTTTAATAATCTATATATATAAAAGCGAAGTGCCACTCACGTGACATCACAAAATCTCCAGAACTGTAAAGCCTACAAACTTGAAATGTGGCTTCTGTTCCTCTTGGCTTCTAGATGCTTGCTAAGAAAGGATTTTTCGAAATGACCATCAGATCATTAGTATTTCTTATATTATTATTATTAACACATTCTGATGCTAAAGAGTTAGACGTTCTACTCCCCCTCCCAACCTGAAAATAACCCGATTCCAACTGCTACTTGAGTGTGGCCAGCATGTGACTCATCAATGGGGCCAGTCTGAGGGAGAGAAGAGGGATAGGAGAGAAGACGCCTCTGTGGGGCAAGCCTGAAGGAGATGAGAGGCAGATCATAACTACTCATTAATTTTCAAGCTGTAAATGTTGATTTATTGTTCAGCTAGTCCGGAATATTGTAGCTTTTCCCACAACATCAATTCCCTTAATGCAGAGCCAGTATCTTGGTGGGCATTAAGGGAAATCCAGCATCCAACATATTTTATTTTGGAAAGACTCTGTTAAGGTTGTTTATGATTGGGGAAGAATGTCAGGCATTTCTAATTGCACAACTGTTTTTCCGAAGGATTTGGCAACAGAAACATAATCTCTGCTATCCTAACTTTTTTCTATGCAATTTTCACAAAGCAAAAAAAAAAAAAAAAAAAAAAGCTACAAAGGTGTAAAATTAACAAAAAGATTTACAGACTAATAACAGAGGTCTCCAACCCCCCGGTCCATGGACGGGCGCCAGACCATGACATGCCAGAAACCGGGTTGCTCAAAATTTGAAGCCCCATCCCCGTTATGCAGGGAGCATATGAAACCACGCCCCGTCTGGTCTGCAGAAAAAACCTTTCTCCACGGAACTGGTCCCTGCTGCCCAAAAGGTTGAGGGGTGCTGGACTAGTAGAAAGCATAGCCTTTTTTTTTCTGTGATAAGCAAGGTAATGTCCAACTACCTTCTTGATTTACGGTCCTTTGACTACCATTTGAAGTTACAACTGACTTTTCAAAGCTATTTACAACCCATTTTCGAAGTTATAATGATCACATACGAACATGATTCTGATTGGGCACTTGGCAACTAACTGACCTTTCCTGCAGTTTGCAACATCCAGCTGAAAAGGCAAGCTAGTTGCCAAGTGAATCTTGCAACTGGATTTGTGTAAATGCAACCATTGCTTAATGGTGTGGCATCCACCTAACAACTGCTCCAAAAAAATGTCAAAACTTTGGATCTTGTTATGCCTCAACGTATGATCCCAATGATGATCATAATGGTTTAAATTATGGTCATAAGTTGAGAAGGACCTGTAATAGAGCCCACGCTTACACAGGCACAACACCAAAATCAACAGACAGCTGACATAAAAAGCAGACAAGAGGGCAAACTGGAGTGAGCATTATTCTTTTTAATTTGCTCTGATTGTTACCTTTTCCTTTAAAGAGAAGTCTTGTTACAAAGAATAACTCTTCAGCCCAGGATCTTCTCTTATTGATAACAGAACAATATAATAAGAGAGTTGGAAGGGACCTTGGTGGCCTAATCCAACCCCCTGCTCAAGCAGAAGACCTTAGGCCTAGACTAGAGATGGCTAAACTTTTTGTTGTTGCATGCCGAAAGCGCACAACAGCACGCAGGCCTACCCACGCACCCATACCCATATTGCAATATGTGTGCGCCCCCCGTGTCCCCTGCCTCCTGGGCATGTGACCCCCTGTGCTCCTCTGCCCCTCCGCACATGTGCGCATGATCCCCCATACCCCATTTTTGGCCTTGTAGACCTCCATGCAGCCTCCTGGGAGGAAAAATGGACCGTGGGGGGCTGCCCCCCAGTACTCTCCTGCGCCCATGTGCACACAACCCCCCCCCCCGCACCCTGGGCATGCATGTTGCACATGTCCCCTGTGCATGCGTGACAGTGACCTGAAAATCAGCTGGCTGGCGGGAGGCACGTGCGCATGCACTGTAAAGCTGAGATGGGTGATGGTTTGCATGCCTGCAAGCCATCATGGGACTAGACCATTCTGGACAAATGCCTGTCCAATCTCTTCCTAACAACCTCTAGGGATGGCGCATCTATAACGTCTGAAGGCAAGTTGTTCTATTGAATAATGGTTCTTTTTGATAGCCCTTCATATATTGATGCTTATACAGTATATATGTAGTGAAAAAGTACCAACATTTTAAAATGTTCATAAACCCACCACTCAAAAGGCTGTCAAAAGCAAAATGCATCATAGGAATTTGTACCTGTAGACATAGTTCACTTTCTATTAGGTAGTTCACTTACCTGTCATAAGTCCCACATAGCAGTAACTGTAGCACAGTATCTCTGGCAGTCCAGGTATTTCAGAAATTACGCCAATCGCCGGAGATTTGACATCTGATGTCACTTCCTGTTCCTTCACCTGTATGAATTCTTGCACCTCATTGGCTATGCTCACCATCTGGAGACATCAATTAAAACATCGGGGGAAGGGCTTACTTCCTCTTAATCCAAGAACTCTCCCTACCGACAACCAACCACAGTTTAGTACCAGCTACCTTGAGGGTGAGCAAAAGTTGCACAGATTTGGTCAAATGTGTTATCTGGGGAAACTTGAAGGAGGTAAATTTGTGGAAAAAGAGCAGGTACGAAAACGTCCATCCTAATGTCAGAGAGGTGGAATACCTATTTTAGAAAAGAGAGCATGTAATGGTTAAGAAATCATCCACATTATAATTTCAAGCATATATATGCCTCTGTTCAGCAGTGGATTCACTTACCTTCCCAACTGGTTCACAAATGTGAGCATGTGCGCCATACAAACACAACTTTAGGAATACCCAATAATTCCCTCTCCTCCGCTACTTAATGTTGCCTTATAGTTTTATAGATGTGAGCAAGGTGTTTAATTAGACGCTAAGCTTGTTACTGACCATAGGACACTGAGCCTGATTTTGCCCCTCTCTTCCAGCCAAGATCCTTTAATCATTGTGCCTATTGCATCATCACAAATTCATCATGTCAGCCCTTCTAGATAAATCAGACAGGAAACACAACTAGATATTAATTCTACTTTATTGCAAGGCTACATTAAGAGTATCTTGCAAGTGTGAAAGTGTAACATCACCACTTCTAACCGTTTGGTCCATTAAGATGAGTGCTTCCTGAAGATTTCTGGTTTGGCGTTGTGGCGAGACAGTTGGAGACAACGGGGTTCCGTGGATCCCAGCTAATTCTTCTCCAATAGGAGACCCTTAGGGGCCAAAGTCACCCTGGAGGAATGATGAAGAAAGAAGGGATTCCTTGTTGATCGCAGAAGAGCAGTGGCTCTCCTATTTGTTCTGAGGTACCCTCCCAATCGACGGGCAAAAGAGATTGCCATTATGGCCAGAACAAAGCTGGGGCAACCGAAGAAGAAATGAGCTGGAGTGGTGGGTCAACAGAAGATTGGAACTGGGTGAGATGATTTTCAACTTCTTTATTAGAGATCCACCCTAAATAAAATAATTTTTGAAAGACTCCAAAGCACATTAAGCAATGAATTAACACATGGAGATAAAAGTATAGACCCAAAAGAGAAATGAAATTTTAATGAAAGAATATGAAGTTTTAAAATATAGAAAGACTTAACTGGAATTTGTGGTACTGTGAAAAGTGATTTTAATTTGTTGAAAATATTGTTTGACTGCTGGAAACTATATAAAGAAAATGTTTTTTTTTCTTTTTTATTGAACTTTGAACCAGCTGTTAGAGCTTTTGCCTCATTTTAGTATTGAAACTTAGAGTTGGGATGTCATTTACTGAACAGAGAAAATGTTATATTAATATATGGTTGGAAAGGACCTTCAGGGGAAAAAAGTCAGAGTTGATAAAAAAAAAAAAGAAAGGAAAGTCAAGATTGATAAAAAGAAAAACAAAGTGAAAGGCAAACAATATCTGGAAGGTCATTTTTTGTTTTTTCCTTTTCTATCTACTTGTTTTTTTGCGGCTTGGAATAACTGGTGAGCCTTTTGAAATTTTTCAAAGTAGTGTGGATTATTAACAAGAGTAATTGCCCTTGAAACGGAAAACTTGATTCTGTGAATTAGAGAGACATGGGGAAATTTGGTGGGAAGAGCATGGGAGATTGATAAAAAAACCAGTAGAACTTAAAATACCAAAAAGGGCAAGAGATGATGGATAGATACAAAATAGTTCTTAATATGGGATTTGTTTTACGATTAGAAAATAGAGTTAGAAATTAGGAAAATGTTATGCATACTGTCACATAAGTTATTATAATTACTATGAATATGTCAGCAATGGCGAACCTTTTTTGGCTCACATGCCATAAGTGGTGGGAGCGCAGGGGGGTCATGCGCAAGCGTGCCACACACATAATGCAATGTGCAAACCCACAGTGCGCATGCGCACATGAGGTGCTCCCGCCATTTTTTTGCATGTTTTTTCACCCTCCCCAGGCTCCAGAGGCTTTATAGGAGCCTGGGGAGGGCGTAAAGAGCCCCCCTCTTTCCCCCAGAGGCTCTCCGAAGGCTTCAGGGACCTTCAGGAAGTGTCCCTGAAGCCTCTGGAGGGCATAAAAGGAGCCTACAAGCAAACCGGAAGTGACTTCCGGTTTGCTCATAGGGTCGGTTTAAGCCCACTGGAGGTTTCAGGGATCTTCAGGAAGCCTCCAGAGGACTAAAAAGGACCCTATGAGCAAACTGGAAGTCCGTTCCTGAACTTCCGGTGTGCCCATAGGGCCAGGTTTTTGCACTCCGAAGCCTCCGGAGGGCCTCTGGAGGGGGGGCTCTTTTCACCCTCCCCAGGCTCCTATAAAGCCTCTGGAGTCTGGGGAGGATGAAAAATGGCTTTAAAAAAGACTGAACTCAGCTGGCCAGTGCGCGCATGCACCATCGGTTCACCATCCCGGGTATATGTAAATGTTAGAAATTGAAAGATTTCTACTATGTATATTTAAATAGTAAAGGGTAAGAGATGATGGCTAGATACATAATATTTCTTAATATGGGAATTGTTGTATTAGGGCAGTGATGACGATTAGGGAGTGCGCGTGCTCGCTCGTTGGGAACGCAACCCGGCAGAGGAGCTGCCCAGGGAACATGTGTGCACCGGAAAATGAACTTACGGTTTCAGCTAGTCTTCTGGTTACTGGTGCTCATGTGCACACGACAATCAGCTAGCCGGCACGCAAAGTGACACGGGAAAAATGAAGACTAGCTCTTCCAGTTTCCAGCACTGCTGCCTGCATGAAGGCCAGCTGATCATCAGGTGCACACCATAAACCCGGAAGAGGAACGGGCAACGCCACACATGTGTGCCACTTTGGGCACGTGGGTCATAGGTTCGCCATCATGGTATTAGGGGATAAAAAAAAGAGGTAGAAAGTAGAAATTGGGAAAACATTACTTTTGTAGTATACTGCTACAAAATATAATATATTATAACTACAATGTATATGTAAATCTTAGAAGTTGAAGTATTATTATCATGTATACCTAAACAGTGTTATTATGATTAGTATTCTGTATAAAGTAAATTGACCCAGACAATGTAATGTTCACTAAGCACTCATATATGTTAAAGAAAAAACCATTTAAAAATCATATTAAAAAAAAGATTAGAGCTTCCTAAGCTTTTTTTCCCCCCCGACCACTAAGCCACTGGGGGTTCCTGCCTCTCTTCTTTGATCGTTTCCTAGGCACCATTTCTTCTCTTCATCTCCCAAGGTCATCCACACATCCCATTACATCAACATCCTGCAATATAGGCTCATACCTAAGAACTCACCAGACCTAAAGAGCTAATGTTTCCTTCTCTATAATCCCTGCCTATATGTTTCTCAGGCCCTCTACTAATTTAATTTAGGGTTTAGAACCAGGAGCACTGGGAAGTCAAATCTCATTTTGCTTCGGAGATTCAGTTCATTTTCCTATAGCTGCCCTGCACACTACTCTTGTCTTCAGACTTCCAAAAACCTTCAAAACCTCTTAGACTTTCAGACACAAACACCAAAAACATACGGTTCCCTGCAACATTTTGCCTAATCAGATGGGATTTTTTTGATCCATTTACTTTGGTGAGATTTTGATGATAATCCATGTCCCCATAATGGTGACAAAGGAATGAATGGTGTGGATGCCACAAGCAGCCATTGTAAGCCCAAGGCCCACCGCAGCTGCTCCATATTTCTTGAATGTCAATCCTACAGAAAAGGAAAGGAAAAGAAACGTCCATCAGCAAATATCTGGACACCAGTCTGAGAATTTAAGACTGTGGGTGTGGAAATTTAAAACTTGTTAACAGTCAGATTTGTGCAACAAGTTTATTTTAACAACTTTTATCTGAGTGGTTTAGCTTGTTGGGAAACTCAGATAGTTTGATTACTTTATGGTTCAATAATTCATTTTCAGGGGAAATGTGTTAAATCACTAACTAAGTACTGATAGAAGAAAAGATTTGTAGCTCAGGGTTGAACTGTAGAAACCAACAATCTTTCTGAGATAGGTTTTCTTGCAGACGTTTCATTACCAAAACAGGTAACGCCATCAGCACTGTAATGAAATGTCTGCAAGAAAGCCACCAAGCTCAAAGAGCACCAAGGACACCACAGTAACCACATTAAAGCCACAATCTTTAAAAATTAGAGACTGCAGAATTCATAGAGAGAGATTGTGGCTATCCTCATTCTTCAGCATCTCCTTTTAAAACAATCCGATTATCTGGGATGGAAAAATATATCACCAAATTCTGACTATCTACCACTAAGTTCAAGATTAAGGCCAATAGGGTGGTCTCGCATGTTATATCAAATGATAATGATTCTGTCTAGAATGATATGAAATGCAGACATCATAGCCTGTGAATCACACTTTATGATTTAGCTTTAGGTAACTTACTCAAAAACTTTGACATAAGAAAGATTTGCATAATGTGTGAATATCCCCACTGTGGTTTAATTAGAAAGTCATGGCTAAAACAAGTATTTGCTGAATATGAATGAATCTGGCCACAGTCTAGTCTTTATCTGGAATTCTTCTTATTTCTCTGACTTATTTCAATCTTTATCTGGAATTCTTCTTTTTTTCATCCCAAAACCAGATGCATCTCAAATCCCCATCTTTTAAGCTTCTGTGTCTCAGGAGAACTCCTCTTTCAGGCTCTCTCCAATCAGCCCTTGAAAATCATCAAGCTAGTGGCAAGTCCTTTTTGCCCAAAACCCAGGAGAGTTTCCAATGAAGACCATAGTAGTCTTAGCACTTACCCCTTTTCTTGAAGAAGAAGCCAATGGGAATTGGGACAAACAGGAATGCTGTGTAAACAACCCCGACAGATGAAATTGTATCTGCCAAAAGATTCAGAATGAAGCTAGTTACAGCAAAAAATTGTGAGAGTGCTACCGTAGACAGGTCACCATAACCCATAGCATCAGCCTTAAAGATGATTTTGGTGAAGTGGAAAATACGAAGTGATCAGTGGTGGGATTCAATTTTTTTTTACTACTAATTCTGTGGGCGTGGCTTGGTGGTGGGCATGGCATGGCTTGGTGGGCGTGGCAGGGGAAGGATACTGTAAAATCTCCATTCCCTCCCCACTCCAGGGGAAGGTTACTGCAAAATCACCATTTCCTCCTGATCAGCTGGGAATCAGGAGGCAGAGAATAGATGGGTGCGGGGCCAGTCAGAGGTGGTATTTACCGGTTCTCTGAACTACTCAAAATTTCCACTACCNAGAAAATTTTACTACTAACAGAGATACAAAAGTGGGCGGTAGGTATAAAATGGTTGACTATCCTTGGTCTAGAACATTGTTTCTCAAACTTGACAACTTTTAAGATATATGGACTTCAACTCCTGCAATTCCCCAGCCAGCTTTGCTGGATGGGGGATTCTGGAAGTTGAAGTCCACACATGTTAAAGGTGTCAAATCTGAGAAATACTAGTCCAGAATTATCTTTTCCATCTTCTCCATAAAACAGTTCCACAGCAACCCACTTTATATCACACCTCACTTCCAGCTCTCGTTTGCCCTAAGTAATCTTTTATTTTAATCCAATTTCACATGACTCACCTTAAGAGACGGGGGAGAAAAGCCACATTTTTGTAGGTGTATTGGTGTAACCACCATTGGACAGTCATGTTCCAACAGAGAATGCCGTCCTTCACCTTGGTACAAAATTCTGTACCATATGGATCAATGTTTTGGATTGTCCGATAATCATAGGCAACACTGGATGCTTCCCCATCAGCTAATCTGCTTGTTAAAAAAAGAGAAAGAAAATCCTTTATGTAGGTTTTTCACTCTGAAACTGACTGGCAGCATGCTTTCTACGCAGGACTGACCAGAAAGACAATCTGAGTTAGTACATACATTTTAAAAAATAGTCATTTGATTTAAATAGCTCACCTTCTGGTTGGGAAAAGGGTACAGACCTCTGTATAAAATACCTTCAGGCTTATAGTCCTCTGAACCAAGAAGGGATCAACATTTTCATAAAATGGGAATTTGTTCATTTATATCCTGCCTTTGTTATTTTTTTTTATAAATTACTCAAGTGGCAAACATATCTAATATTCCTCCCTCCCTCCTATTTTCACCACATAACAATGCTGTGAGGTGAATTGGGCTGAGAGAGGGACTGGCCCCCAGTCCCCCCAGTTGGTGTCCATGCCTATATGGCAGTAGAACTTACCATCTCCTAGTAACTGGCCCAAAGACCCCCAGCCAGATTTCATGCCTAAGGTGAGACTCGCAGTCTCCTGGCTTGTACCCTGGTGCCTTCACCACGAATATAAATAATGTTTTCTAAATTTAGGGTTCATTCACACATTTCCCCCCCCCCCTCAAAGCTCCGTGACAATGTCTTGGGCATCTAAGGCATAATGACATGCCCTCATGACTTTGTCATAAAATCCCTCATCCAAGAGCTCAGGCTGCATTTATCTGATCCCCATATTCATGTGGTATTTTCTGTCTTCTTTCAACACATTCTGACCAGTGACAAAACCCCTGGATGTAACCACCTGTCAAAACTCAGCCCAAATTAAGAAGAGTGACGGGTGGATGTTTTTCCTGCCTGCACAAAATCCACCAGGACTAGTTAAGGAAAATACATTAGGGCCCCACCATTCACTGGTTTTAGTATCAGGCAGAACAGAAATCAGCAGATGGCAGAGAGCAAAATAATGCTCATTCTTTTGTGCCACAACTGTCAGAATGTAACTTTAGTGTACTCTATTCTCACAGTCCACCACCTGCAACCACGATTGGCCGAATTTCTGTTGCTAAGCAAGGCAAGTGTTTAAATGAGTCCCATCCGATTTCGCAACCTTTTTTGCCACAGTTGTTAACCGAATCACTGCAACTGTTAAGCGAATCACACCGTTGTTAATGAATCAACTTTCCCCTTGACTTTGCTTGTGAGAAGCTCCCTGAGAAGTTGCAAATGGTGATCACATGATCCTGAAACACTGCAATCATCAGCTGATTGTCAAACACCCAAATTTTGATCATGTGACTGTGGGGATGCTGTAATGATCCTAAGTGCAAGGACCAGTTATAAGTCATCTTTTTCAGTGCTATTGTAACTTTAAATAGTTGCTAACAAATGGTTGTAAGTCAAGGAGTGTCTGTACAGTTAGTCCCTGACTTAAGACCACAACTGAACCCAAAACCTCCCATTACCAAACAAGCCAGTTGTTAAGTGAATTTCAACCCATTTTACCACCATATTTGCCACAATTGCTAAGCAAATCACTGCAGTTATTACATGTGGTCATTAAGTGAATCTAGCTTCTCCCATTAATTTTGCTTGTTGGAAAGCTGGCTGGGAAGATTGCAAAATGACACGTGACTCCAGGATAGGGCAATGGTCACAAACATGCGTCAGTTGCTAAGTGCCCAAATTTTGATCACATGACCTTGGTTGTGGTACAATGGTCATAAGTGTGAAAAATGGTCATGAGTCCCTTTTTTCCAGGGCTGTAATAACTTCGAAGAGTCAATAAATGAATGGTTTGCAAGGTGAGGACTACCTGTAGCAGAAAAGGAATTCTTTTTTTTAGACAAGGAAGAGAAGGTGTTCTAAACTCACTGGATTAGAGATTCGTATTCCACAGTCGGTCCTCTGCCTGATTGTGAATTGGCACAAGTTGGATATGCTCCAAGGCCAGCAGTGATGCAGGCACTCTCTGCACCATACCAGGTTACGTAGTTACGCAGGCGGAACACAAAGGAAACTGGCATCATGTAGAAAAGACGGAAACAGATCCCTTTTTCGTAGAAGGCAGCATTTTCCACATATTCAGGGGGCCAGATGTAGGAGACAGCCAAAAATGTAGTTGCAAAGACAGGCATCATCATCAGTCTGTAAAGCAGTGGCTTCCATGTAGGAATTTCAGAAGGGTTGGGCTGATTCAACCAGTCATGATATGTACGATAGCGATAAAATAAGCCTGGGTTTTAAGAACACAGAAGAGAAAGCAAGGAAAGAAAACAAGACCAATGAGAGATATCTGTCTAAGAAAGGGGTGGGCAATAAATAACTAACGATTTGCCAGCTCAGGAATTCTGGGAGACGAAGTTCACAGGTCATCAAGTTGCCATAATTGTCCACCCCAGTGTAAAACAAAATACACATTTTAATAATCTATATATATAAAAGCGAAGTGCCACTCACGTGACATCACAAAATCTCCAGAACTGTAAAGCCTACAAACTTGAAATGTGGCTTCTGTTCCTCTTGGCTTCTAGATGCTTGCTAAGAAAGGATTTTTCGAAATGACCATCAGATCATTAGTATTTCTTATATTATTATTATTAACACATTCTGATGCTAAAGAGTTAGACGTTCTACTCCCCCTCCCAACCTGAAAATAACCCGATTCCAACTGCTACTTGAGTGTGGCCAGCATGTGACTCATCAATGGGGCCAGTCTGAGGGAGAGAAGAGGGATAGGAGAGAAGACGCCTCTGTGGGGCAAGCCTGAAGGAGATGAGAGGCAGATCATAACTACTCATTAATTTTCAAGCTGTAAATGTTGATTTATTGTTCAGCTAGTCCGGAATATTGTAGCTTTTCCCACAACATCAATTCCCTTAATGCAGAGCCAGTATCTTGGTGGGCATTAAGGGAAATCCAGCATCCAACATATTTTATTTTGGAAAGACTCTGTTAAGGTTGTTTATGATTGGGGAAGAATGTCAGGCATTTCTAATTGCACAACTGTTTTTCCGAAGGATTTGGCAACAGAAACATAATCTCTGCTATCCTAACTTTTTTCTATGCAATTTTCACAAANAAAATAATGGAATGTGCTGAAATGAGTAAATTGACATTTGAAATTAGAGAACAAGAAGATGTACAATTGTATAAGGTATGCGATTTGTTTTATCAATTGCTAGATAAAAAAACATGGAAATAAAAAATGTTAGAGAAATTTTACATATTGTAAGAATAATAGAATAAGATACGTGATACTATAAAGATATATTATTAAATATACTAACAATGATGTAATGGAATATTGCCATATACATGAATTGAATGTCTAGTCTACAATGCCAGTTCCAGGAAGATTCCACAACCAATTGCACCCTGATTAAGGTGACCCTGAGGGCACAGGTAAACCCCCAAGTAGCTTCCACAGCTTTCAGAGAGAGCGTTAATGACCCGATGACTGCAAAGAAATGCAATCCTTCCAACCCCTTCCCACCTTCCTGTCAGAATCTATCCTTCCATCCCCTCACTGTCCAGTCTCAATTGTCAGTTCCTATCCTTCAACCCCACACAGTCATCAGAACCAATGAAGCTTCTTGGATGAGAAGTGAAACATTTTCTTCCTCCTCCTGACGGAGAAAATAGTCCAGTTGCCTTTTGAAGAAAAAATAACCTTGGAGACATACTGACATTGAAACACATATGCAGTATTCCAGATAAAATGTTCCTGTACCAGTGGTGGGTTGCAGGCGGTATGTCCTGGTACGGGCATCCGGAACCTGCCCGGAGCACCCGATACTGTTCTGGTACAGTGCTCCAGAGGGCCCACCGGCCCACCTGAGCTCCTTAACTGTCTTTTAAGGCTTCCGCGCACGTGCATGTGCCTGCACTCTACTCCGCTGAGCAGCTGGAGCGTTGCAGAGGCTCGTGGAGACGCATCTGCGCACTGCACAGGTCAATGTGGACGCCGCCGTGCCAATTCCAACTGTACCGGTTGGAACAGGATCCAGAACCCACCACTGTCCTATACATACTGATTAAAAACGAAAACATCATGTTGTGTATGACTTTCATCATGTTGACTTTCTTGTAAGCACAATTTTAATGCTCTCCCTTCTTCAGATTTGCTGATTTATTGTTCAACATTTTAAAATATTTTTTGTAAACTATTTAAGCCATTGTGCAAATACACATTCATGTTGAAGCAGTACGTCCATGTAGTGGATTCAGATTAAAATCCCTGGGGTGAATTGTTCAGGCCCCTACCCACTATGGTTAAATAATAATGCTTGTCATGTAAAGGTAGTCTTATTTATTCATCACTTTTAAGACTGGGAACAATTATTAAGCGAAGTGGTCACTAAATGAATCCACTACTGTGCTTAAAATCTGAAAACCTTTAAAGACTTTTACAGTCACAAAGTTACTTTGTCTTCACTGATGTAACTGTGAACAGTCGATAAACAAGGACTTCCTGCTGTTAGAATGTGCAGCCGGTAAACAGAGATGGATGGCCTCTCCCTTTGCCAAAACGTAAATAAATTGGTTGCTATATTTAACTTTCAACAGAAGAACAATGCTTACGTAGCATTTGGAGCTGCCAATATAGAGGTATCCTGTATTTTCACAGCCCTGACCAACTAACTTCTATATACAGTAACTTTTGACAGAATCAGTCAATCAATCAAAATAAACTGGAAAGGACCTTGGAGGTCTTCTAGTCCAGCCCCCTGTTCCAGCAGGAGATCCTATGTCATTTCAGACAAGTGACTGTCGAGTCTTTCTTAAAAACCTACAATGATGAAGCACCCACAACTTTGATGCAGTTTTACTAAGGAGTTTAGGACTTGTCATAATCAGAATGCTCTTTCTCAAAGGCGCAAAGCACCCAAGCTTTTTTATAGTCTGCGGATGGGCAAAATGTTCCCGTTCCCTGAATTAAAACAACCACCAATTGAACCTTCTAGAAACACTGCACTGTATGGAGGTGCCCACCTAATGGATAGCAATAATTGCATACAAGGTGAAAAGCAAATTGGGATAGCACAAACAGGTTTCTTCTCCTACTGAGAAATATCCCAGAGGCTGCCATCAATTAGGACTTCAGTGTCTACTTCATGGTACCACCAGTCCTTAAGCTGCCACCAACAAATCATCAGATGGACATGCTTGTATATTTCTTGCTGCATAAATGTGATAAATACATCTTGTCAGAGCTGTGTGATATTTTTACATTTTATCTTACAGGGAATGCAGAGTAAGTGTTTGAGGGGTTGAAATTCTGGTCACTTTTTGCAGCTCAATAGGTGGAGATTAATTCTTTTGACAATAGGATGGGTGTTACCTAGCTAGATCCTGGTTGGGTGGGATCAGCCTGCATTTCTGCTCCAAGCAACACAAATCTTTGTCTCCTCTACATTCTTTCAGGCAACATGTGGCAATACAAATGCCTGTGCAGGTTCTCTTGGTGTCGTGGTTGTTGGCAGTCATGAAGAATTATCATCAGAGTTAGTATTATCCAGTGCAGAGTAGAAAACTCTCTGGCTTGGCCTCATTTCACAAATATAGATGGGGAGGGTAGCAAGAGCTGAAGAAGGAAGCAGCAACTTTGAACCGCAGTCCAGCTTTGATATCCTGCCCCAATGTGTGCATGACATTAGATAATCTTGGAGCGGTGTAACCTTCATTTAAGGCATTATTTAAGATCCTTTAAATATCTTTAATGGTCATGACTATGGCCACAGATCATCAAAACCTAACTCAAGATTTAAATCATAGCATTGTTTTCAAGCCTTTGTGGATCTTCTGTAAGATCATGGCCACTCAGGGATCCATGGACCACCGGTTAAGAATAACTGATCTAAATTGTTACCCGTTTCTACATTTCCAAGTAGTCCTTGACTTACAACTGTAATGGAGCCTTCTCGTTACAGGTAGTCCTCGACTTAAAAATACAGTGGAGCCTGCCCATTATGGTCACAAATTGCGACAGCCATTAAACAAGGCATCCATGTGATTACATCACTTAAGGAATCCCATCCCTAAAATCCCTTCCACAGGCCCAGGCCCAGACTGTGGTACATCCACAACTCACACTTGTCTGCCCAGACCTCCCAAATTCTCTCCCATCCCAAGGTACCCCTTGCCCCACTTCCTGCCCCTTGGGATCTCTCAAAGGCCTTGGGCCTGCTTCCATCCCAATGGGTCTCACATCCTCCGCCCTATCAGTTACATACCTTTTACTATAGATCTTCTGGATTATCTACTGCACTGCGCAGCCTTCCTACACAGTGGGGATTCCATCCCTAAAGTTGGTGCCAATTTGGGAGTGGCTGCTATGAATTTTGGCCACTCTGAAATGGCACCCACTTCCAGAATAGAGCCACCCAACCTGTAGAGAGACTAAGGTATGGACTTATCTACTCTCCTTCCTCTGGAGATGGCATTGGGAAAGAACAGGCTGATAAGAAAAGCATTAAATGTCCTTCAAAATATCCTGAATGTTAGGGTTCTAAGTAACACCCCCAACAAAAGAAAACTCAGAGGCTTTAGGTTCCTCAAAGTACCATTTTATTAGAGATGTCATATAGGCACATCTGGGAAAACCCACATCTGAAAGCTTCCAGGTTTTCCCATCCAGTTGAAAATTCAAGACCCTGCCCCCAACACCCACTAGTCTGTCACATGGTCCAATCCTCCATTGCCACGAAGAAAGACTCCTCCCATCCACATGCGTCCAGGTGCAGGGACAAAGCGACCTTGATTTTCTAAGAAAGAATGTTGTTATAGCTACACATCACCCATACTCTGTATAATCCCCCATCCTTTTTTCCCACAGTAGAAAGTGTGGCAGGCCTGAAATCCAAAANTCCTACTCTCAGGTCCTTTGGAGAATAGCTTCACTCCCTCTTCATTGGAACACTGCTATCATGTCTTCTGCTTCTTTTCATTAAACTAGACATACTCCTATTAGAGAGAACATTGTAGAGCAGGGTTTTCCAACCTTGACAACTTTAAGATAAGTGGACTTTAATTCCCAGAATTATTCTTTTAGAAATGTTATGAGGAGTGAAGGTCGGGAAGAGAAGCGGACAACTAAAAAGGAAAAGAATGCAGCTAATTCAAAGCTAACTGCCAAATGCAGTTTGTGAAGGTTACCAGGCTTACAAGTTAAACAGATTTCAAGGGAGCAGATAAGATTGAGGCCTCCTCCTGCAGCTTTTGGAAATATGTTGTCCCACCCTGGCTAAACTCCAGGTTTGTCTGTGAACAAATCTTTTATCTCACGGCCTCACTGCAT